AGAGCAGAGTTAAAGGAGAATAACAGTATTAGAAAGAAAAAGGAAGACAGTGAGAAATAGAAATAGAAGAACAGTAGAGTGAGGAAAGAACCAAAGAGTGAGTTGCGGGGACAGGTAGTAGAGGATTTACTTACTGAGCATTGTTGTGCTCACCCCGTTGTTCTTCTCTGTTTTGCAGGAAATAGGAGCAACGGTCGGATGGACGTCGAGGAGCGAAGAGTATTGGCACCACTGTCTACCAGTCATGATATTTTGTATTAATTAGAAAGTTTTTAAATACATAGTCTTTTGTATTTGTAAAGAATTATATTTTATGAGTAAAGAAAAATTTGAGCCCACTATCTTTCGTATGATATACATCTTTATATTTTACATAGTATGAACTATAAGAATAGTAGTTGAGAGTAAGTGTGACAGGTAACTCTTCATAGCAATTACAGTCTCATCCAACCCCACCGACCGAGCCAGATCAACCATCTATGGAAGAGTTGGATGAAGTACAGATACATTCGGATGACCCCAAGAGAAAGACACACATAGGGTACCACCTCAAGCCCAAGATAAGAGAGAAGCTGATAGAATTCCTCAAACAGAACCAAGACTATTTCGCCTGGTCCCAAGCCGACATGACCGGAGTCAGTCCGAAAATAATGGTCCACCAGCTCAAGGTAGACCTAGATCACCCACCAGTGAAACAGAAGAGAAGGAAATTTGTAGTAGAGCGTAACCGAATTGTCAACGAAGAGGTTGAGAAGCTCCTGAGCAATGGTATGATCAAAGAGGTCCACTACCCCGAATGACTGGCGAATGTTGTGGTCGTAAAGAAAAAGAACGGGAAATAGAGAGTGTGCATTGAATTCACAGACATAAACAAAGCCTGCCTCAAGGATTCCTTTCCTCTCCCACATATCGACATAATGGTCGATGCGACTGCAGGTCACGAGCTCCTTAGTTTCATGGACGCTTTCTCAGGGTACAACCAGATCTTGATACACCCGAACGACCAAGAGAAGACAGCATTCATCACGGAAAGGGGAACCTATTGCTGTAAGGTGATGCCATTAGGCCTGAAGAACGTCGGGGCCACCTACCAGCGGCTCGTTAACAAGATGTTCGCTGAGTACCTCGGAGACACCATGGAGGTATACATCGACGACATGCTTGTCAAGTCACTGATGGCCGAACAGCACCTCGACCACCTCAGCCAGGCATTCACCATCCTTATGAAGTACAACATGAAGCTAAATCCAGCAAAGTGCTCATTCGGGGTCTCGTCAGGTAAGTTCTTGGGCTACATAGTGACTCAGCGAGGGATAGAAGCCAACCCCGACCAAATCAGAGCAATCCTTAGTATACCGTCTCCAACTTGCATCAAAGACGTCTGGCGCCTCGCACGACGGGTATTCGCCTTGAGCCGTTTTATTTCCAGATCAGCCGACAAGTACCATCTTTTCTTCTATGCTCTCAAGAAGTCCAAGAAGTTCAAGTGGACCACCTCCTGCGAAGAAGCCTTGCAACAGCTGAAGAGGTACCTGACCTCCTCTCTGCTCCTCTCCAAACCTGTGGACGGGGAGAAGCTCTACTTTTACCTAGCGGCCTCAGAGACAGCCATCTCAGCAGTACTAGTTCGGGAAGAAGAAACGAAGCAGTTGCTAGTCTATTATGCAAGCAAGTCACTCCTTGACGTGGAAACACGGTACAATCAGTTGGAAAAATTAGCCCTCGCCCTCATCAATGCATCCAAGAAGCTCAGGCCATACTTTTAGTGCCACTCAATAATTGTACTCACCTCCTTCCCACTCAAAAAGATACTACACAAACCAGAGCTATCAGACCGACTCCTGTAGTGGACAGTAGAGCTCAGTGAGTTCAACATATCATACCAGCATCGCACCGCCGTCAAGTCCCAGGCCTTAGCTGACTTCATTGCTGATTTCACCCCGTATAACACCCCCTAAGCAGAAAGTGAGTTGTTATGCATGAATGGCGGATCACCCTCCAAGTGGACTCTCTTAGTGGACGGCTCGAGTAACGTAAATGGAAGCGGACTTGAATTGGTACTGGTTACGCCAGAAGGAGACATCATCCAGCGGGCAATACGGTGTGGGTTCAAGTGCACGAACAACAAAGCTGAATATGAGCCCCTCATAGCTGGACTTTCCTTAGCCAAAGAAATTGGAGCGTACAAACTAGAGGTGAAGTCTGATTCCCAGCTCGTGGTCAATCAACTGCAATGCACGTATCAAGCACGTAACTCGAAGATGACATCCTACTTGAGCATGGTCAAGGAGCTGCAGGCCCAATTCGATGAGTTTTCCATCATCCAAATCCCCAGAGCAGAGAACTCCCACGCTGATGCCCTTGCCAATCTCGGCTCAACCCTCAAATGCTCTTCCCAGTCATCCATCCCTCTATTATTCATGCAGTGGCCCGCCAACTTGAAGGGACGACAACCAAACAAGCCACCCGAGAAAGCCATGGGTGTTGAACTAGCCGACTGCTGGATGACTCCGATAGTGAGATACTTGGAACAAGACGAACTCTCAGTTGACAAGAACGAGGCACGATAACTAAAAGCAAGAGCCGCCAGATTCACCATACATGAGGGCCAACTCCTTAGAAAATCATTCTCGAGCTCCTACCTCAAGTGCACAAGCCCAGAGGAGGCCCAATGTGTCCTTGCCGAGCTACATGAAGGCGAATGTGGAAACCATACTGGGGGACGCAGCCTTGCACACGGGGTGATCACTGCTGGATATTACTGGCTGACCATACACATCGATTCGACCGCTTATGTGAAGAAGTGCGATAGTTGTCAGAGGTTTGCTCATGTCTCACACCTCCCACCAGAGCGACTCCATTCCATCCTCACACCCTGTCCCTTTATGAAGTGGGGAATAGACATCGTGGGAAAACTACCGACTGCACCCGGACAGTGAGTCTTCATGTTAGCTGTGACAGACTACTTTACCAAGTGGATTGAAGCCGAAGCCGAAGCCTTCGCACAAGTCAAAGACCGAGAGGTAAAAGCCTTCATCTGGAAGAATGTCATCTGCAGGTTCGGGATACCAAAGGAGATCGTCACTGATAATCCATGGATTATACTATTTTCATTAGACTTTTTAGTCGGATTTCATGTACTTTTTAGTTCATTTTAACCTGAATTGTTGCTTAAATCTTTACATTTCGTGTTTCAGGTTAAAATAGACATTTTGAGCAAATAAGGACAAAATTGGAAATTCTAAACTCAGAAGTAAGCGGATCTCAGAAGTTGGGAGAGTTCTAAAGCAGAATAAAGCACTATGAAGCTCACTTCCAAGGAAGAGCACCGAAGATTGAAGAATCAAGCGAAGATGCAAGCAGAGTGGCAGCTCTATTCGCCGTAGCGACGGTCGTGAATTCCAGTTTTGTAAAACGCACAGTTTTACTTAGTGCGTGTTTTTCTGGGAAATTTGGGCGAAGTATAAAAGGAAACATTTAGCATTTTTCTAGGAGAGGTCAAAGAGGGTTTAGAGCAGCTTTTGCATTACTTTTGATTTTATCTTTGAACGATTTTGAGCTGTCGAAAGAGGAAGATTCGATTTCAAACCATAGGATTTATCATTTGGGGAGATTTCTTATCTTTTCTGTCATTTTCATTATGTTGAACTATAATATTTTCATTTCTTTCATTTGTGTTGTTGATTTAGCCATGAACTAACCCATTTTGGGTTAGGGTTTTGATTGTAATTCGGATTTTAATGGGTTAAGTGATTTATTGTTTTATTTTCATATGATTATGCTTTGACTGTGTGTTACTCTGAATTTTTAATGCTTTTATGTGATGAACTTGGTGAGATTGAGAAATGAATCATGTTAGGCTTCTTGGGTAATCAACATTGTAGTATTGGATGCTAGAGATAGATTCAAAAATCAATGAAATCATTTTAGGATTCTTATGCTTAATGAACTTGGATTTGTTAACTTTCAAATTGTTGGGTACGGAAAGTTGATAAGGAAGAGTAGGGAAACATAGCCTGAGAAGGTATGTTTAACACTTAGGAGAGTTCAATTTACAATCAATGCGTATGAGTATGATTTTAGTTTAATTCTTAGGTTTAACCCATAAAATCCGATGAAGTCAAAACCCTACCCGTTTTACTTGAATTAATTTCTATCCGTGTTTTCATCTCGCATTCTTAGTAAGTTTAGTTTAAATTTTATTGTTCTGTTTTAATTAGAAATAGCTCCCATTAATCCAAAGAAATTGATTGCTCCAACTTGAGAATAGTAGGAAACTTAGTGCTTGGCTAACAATCCTCGTGGGAACGATACTCACTCATCATTATATTACTTGTGCGATTAGTATACTTGCTACACAGTGCATGTTGTAGGAAACACGCATCAGTCACCGACAATGGATCCCAGTTCATCAATTCAGGCTTCAGGGATTTCTGTGACATGTGGGGAATAAAATTGAGCTTCTCAACCCCCCCGCAACCCCAGTCTAACGGCCAAGCCGAGTCGTCAAACAAGAACATCATTCAGATAGTAAAGAAGCGGTTGCAAAAAGCTAAGGGTGCATGGGCAGATGAGCTGCCCAGAGTCCTCTGGTCATACCGAACCACAGCTCGCTCGTCAATGGGCGAGACCCCCTTCTCTCTTACATACGGTTCTGAAGTAGTCATCCCAGCCAAAGTATCAGTCTCATCCACCAGGCTCCAATAGGCGGATGAGGAATCAAACGACTAGAACCTTTGCCAGAACCTGGACACCATCGACAAACTACGCGAACGAGTGAGCATCCGTAACATAGTCTATCAGCAATAGGCCGCCCGACATTACAATTGCAACGTGAGGATCCAGACTTTCAAGATAGGCGACTGGGTCTTTCGCAAGGCCTTCCAAAACACCAAGGAGATCAACTCTGGCAAACTCGGCCCCACCTGGGAAGGCCCTTACAAGATAACCAAAGAAGCGGGGAAGGGTGCTTACAAACTCCAAACCCCCGAGGGCAAAGACATCAGTAACAGTTGGAATGTCGTTCACCTCAAACGCTACTACTTCTAGGTGAACTTATCTTTTTTATGTTTCCTTATTTATTTTAAAAGGGATGAGTGGGCCTATCCACCTCATCTTAGACAGTCGACCTCATGGCCAAATATTAATGAAGTATTATTCAGAAATTTTTCATCTCCAAATCGACTCCAGTCGATCAATTATTTGTAACACCTTCAGATCGACCATGCCTGTTCCACGAAATCGCACCTTCGAATCGACCCTGCTCGATTCGCGATTACACCTTCAAATCGGCCCTGCCCGATTCACGATTTCGCACTGTCAGATCTACCCCGTCGGATCCACGATTTCACACCTTTGAATCGGCCCTGCCCGATTTTCCAATAACACCTTCGAATCGACCC